TTGCTGGATCTGAGCTGGTTCCTGGGGAGGACGTTTTAGTAATGTGGATACTTGGGCCCGTTGTCTGGTGCCTGGAATTTCTCATCTCTCCTTTAAAAAAAAAATCGGTGTGTTTTAAAGACTTTTTTGGGACTGTGTAGATTTATGGCTGCCTGTCTGTTCCTATGTCAGAGATTTTGTCTAGGCAGGTTTAGACTACAGGGCATCTGCTGAGAGTGAATGTGAAAGAGGAGACCTTTTAATTTAACACGTTGCTGGGGAATGAGCATTCTGTTGACTTCTGTTATTAGGAAAGAAGTCACATCGGTCGTTTTCTTTTCGGGGTCCATATGAACATTTAGCATGTAGATAAGGCTTCCTCTATGCCCACTTGGCCCCAGCCAAGATATAAAGGAGACCAGGGGATTAATTTTGCAGAATGCCTCTCCATAGTTTCTTTAAGTAGAGAACTCCACTAGAGCACGCTTGTAGATCACATTAGTGTTTCTTTGCAGATATTTAATTACTTGGCTAGGGTTAGAGGAGGAATGAAAAAAAAAAATCTAAAATTAAACTGTTGGGAGGCTTTGCCAATCTGAAACCACGAAGAGATGCAGCAAAGTGCTTTTGAAATTCTGATGGAAGCCAACGGGGCAGGCAGCTTTTGTGTGAGGTGTTTCATTGCTGTATATTTACCGTGAGCTTGGAGGATGGATTTAGTAACTCACTTTAGATTCAGTTACAGTGAGCTTTTATTTAATGCCTACCGGTTCCCTGCCAGACACTTTGGCACATGTTATTTAATTTAATCCTAATAAACGAAACAATTCTTTAGATAGGCGTGTGTGGTAGGCTGAAAGGAGTCGTGATGGCACAGTGGTTAAGTGCTCAGCTGTTCGCTGGGTCAGTGGTTCAAACCCATCGGCTGCTCTGTGAAAGATACGGAAGTCTGCTTCTGTGAAGATTTATAGTCTTGACACCTTGGTGGGGCAGTTCTGCTCCGTTCTAGGGTCTCTGTGAGTCAGAATTGACTTGATGGCAGTGGGTGGTAGGCCAATTATTACATCTCCATTTTATAGTGTCTTAAATTCCACATTCTATTAGTATGTAATCTCTGGCACCTCGCACTTAATTTGTCTGTTGAGCAAATGCATAAGGAAAGATAGGTTAGTATAATTTGGCCATTAGTGAGTATAGGGAGAAGTTTAAATCTGGAGCGAGGGTATTTGATGGGGTGACCTTGACCTCAGGGAACTTTAAGGCATGGCTGACGAGGGAGATGAACAATGAGGAGGGAAGACTAAATTCACTATCTGTTTAGTGGGGGAGCTTTGGTGGCTTGGTGGTAAGGAGTTGTGCGCCAGCCCCCATCAGAGGCAGTTTGAATCCACCAGCTGCTCTGTGGGAGAAAGCTGACAGTCTCTATGTGATTTACAGCTTCTGAAAAACTACTGGGTGGTCAACTCTAAGTTGGTTCCGACTCGATGGTACTTAACAACAGCAGTTAGTTGAATGGAGTAGATTCCGACTCACGACTGTTCCATACGTGCAGCATAGGACTGTACTCCACAGAGGTTTTCAGTGACTGGCTTTCCAGGAGTAGGTAGCCAGACCTTTCTTCAGAGGGGTCTCTGGGTGAACTCAGACCTCCACCTGTTCAGTTTAGCAGCTTCGCCTAGTAACCGTCAGCACAACTGAGGAGCAGTGCTGTGAATCAGAATAGAATGAACTCGTAGGAAAGAAAGCAGATGAGAGACTGAGAGAGCTCAGTGGAGCTGTGAGATCTGCATAGTGCTCTTACGTACACTGTTACCTGATCTCCGCTCATCTGAAGGGAGATGAAGATATCACATCTTTAAACATATGCAGAGCGTTCCTCCCACAGGAAGCAGGAAATGGCCAACAGGCGTTGTGGAGAGTCGCTTGGACAATGCTCTTTTCAGCCAATACAGGAAGTTCCTAACAGGGATAGTCCAGTTTGGAGTAAGCCAGCAGCAGCGACTGGGAGCAGTTAAGCTCACTCAGAAGCTCATTAATTATGGGAACCTCCCTTTTTTACAGCATTCGCACTCACAGATTTGTGTATGCACGGGGTGGATGGGAGCATGGAACCCAGCCCGTCGCGTGGCAGTGGGGCAGGGACTCAGACCTAAGGGTGAGTCTTACCTGGACTTAGATGCAGAAGCCAGGTTTTCAGTGTCTGCCAGGAGCCCCGGGGCCCCAGGCATCACTCTTCTCTCTCTCTCTTTTTTTGACATCACTCTTCTGAGCATCTTCTCCTCTTCAGGACGAGGCTGGTTCGTTCGTTCGTTCATTCATTCATTCAGGAAATGTGCAAGCAGCCTGTACGATAAAAGTGATTGGATCCAAGCAGCCATGGCCCTTGTCCTCAGGCTCCTGTGTTGAACTGTGACGTACAGATATGACACTGTGTTTTTATTACGTATATCTTACTGAGTGGCTCTCACCCAGCTGTTAACTGAAAGATTGGCACTTTGAGAATCTACTCAGAGGTACCTCAGAAGAAAGAAAAGGTTTAGGGTTCCACTTACAGACCTTTCAGTAATTGAAAACCCAATGGGTTGTAGTTGTGCCCTGAACCCAGGGGGTTGCCAGGAATCAGTATCAACTCAATATTGATTGGTGGTTTTTTTTAAAGAAAATGGATGAGACCTTGTCCCTACTAAATTTTGGAATTTTAATTTTTTTGAAAAATTAAAACCAAAATTAACAATGCCTACATGCCACACAGTCTTTGGGAACAGACTTATTTCCTCATTTAATTTTTGGCTTCTCCACGTAAGATTTTTGGTCCCTGCTCTGAATAGTTTCTATCAGTGAGCTTCATCCTTCTCTGTTTGCTTTGAAACCAGTGGGAATCTCAAATGTGGCCACACACTCATTTATGCAGCCTCCAAACACTTGGCAGGGTCTTCGCTGTGCCTGCCCCTGGGCTTGGCATTGTGGAGGGTACCTAGAGGAATCGGGAGCTTACAGCCAGGGGAAGAGGAAGTCGGAAAGACATGTTTATCAGTGATTTTCACACAGTTGGAAAGTTCGTGTCCTGTGACAGGGTGTGGGTGCTGTGTTGAGGGGTTTCAGAAGTGGGGGAATTAGATGGCCTCTGGCTGTGATTGCTATGCTGGTATTTTGACTTTTGGAGAAGCCTGTATTTGAGTTGGATCTTGGAGGATGGTTATGACTTGTCAGAAAGCTTTAGGAGTGCAGAGGCATTCCAAAAAGAGGATAGGATGTGTGGACAAAGGCAGAGACTGGGGATTAGCCAGGCTTGACTAGAGGGTGAGCTGAACCAAGGGGAATCTCAAGGAATTAAAAGGGAGGAAGGTTGGGGGTGGTCAGTCTGAGGGTTGATAGGTCCAAGACCAGTGTCTGTCTTTGTCCTCAGGTCTGGACCAGCACTTGAACTCTCACCTGGCTCCCTGTAGCCCTGTTTTTTAATTGTTTGTGAGTTTCTTGTTGTTTGATTTTTTTTATGATTGTGAGCAAGTATATGTTATAAGGGAGCTCTGATGACCTAGTAGTAAAGGATTGTGCTGTCAACGCAAAGGCACGTGGTTTGAATCCACCAACTGTTTGCTCTGCCGGGAAAAGATAGACAGTCAACCCGTGTGATTTATAGCCTCTGAAATCTGCTGAAGAGTCAGTTATAAGTCGGTTCCAACTCAACAGAACTCTACAACAACAACAATATATGATGAAACAGCTGTCATTTTAAGGGTGTAACTCAAAGACATTGATTACATCCATTGTGTTGAATGACCATTACCGCCATCCATTTTCCTTTTTAATTGATATGTGAACAAGAGTATCTATAGGAAAGCTTTTTTTTTTAAATTTTTCTTGTATTATTTTTATGTGTACCGTCAAATCAGATCTGACTGGTACAGGGGATGATTGTTCCTCCTTCTCCAGCAGAGCATCTGGTGGATTTGAACCATGTACCTCTGGGATTGTAGTACAACGTCTTGCCACTAGGCCACCAGAGCTCCCTATGGGAAAGCATTTGACAGGACTGCAGTCTTCGCCTGTGTGGCTCGGTGGCATGGATTATGTTCACTGTGCTGTTCAACCGTTATCCTCCACGGTCCCCACATTTCCCCATCAGCCTTGGCAGCCCAGTGTCCTCTCTCTTTTCCCCTCATCACCGTGAATAAACTTTGGTCTGTGTGCCCTTACCTGCTCTAAATATTGCACGTATGTGGGGCCAGATAATATTTGTCATTTTAGGTCTGACTTACTTCACTCAGCTAGTTGACAAGATCCCTCTATGTTGTAACATGCTCCAAAATTTCATTTCTCTTTATGGCTGAGTAATATTCCATAGTTTGTTCCCTCATTCACCTGTTACTAGACATTCAATGCTGTACTTGTTAAATTCTGTCTCATGTGCTTTGGGCATGTTATCAAGAAGGGCCAGTCTTTGCAAAAGAACATTAATGCAGGGAAAGGTGGGGGGTCAGAGAAAGAGAGGAAGACTCTCAACAAGATAGGTCGACAGTGAGCTCTGGCGTGTCGGAGGGATCGGGAGGACGATAAAGGACAGGGCAAGCTTCAGATCTGTTGTTGAGAAGATTACCTTGAGTTGTAGTTGACTGGATGGCCCATCAGAGCAACAACAATCCTTACTCATTTTGTGGGTGCTGTTTGAACAGCAGCACCTAGTTCTGTTTTGTTCAGAGCTCTTAGGTTTAAAATAATTTTGACGCGTCTCTTTCTTTTATGTAAGTAAATCAGAATGAGGCTGTCTTATGGCACAGTAGACCCTCAAGTCCATGTATGTTATTAAACACAAGTTTTAGGTTAAAGCTTGAAGGCTTAGGACTTCCAGAGTGACTGTCTCTATTATCTGTAGACTCCTAACAGTCTACTCCATACAGTCAATGTTGTATCTGGAATCACCTTCCTGGAGAAATATGGAGAGTGACCAGTTTTGGCATCTTATCAAATGCAACTTCAGATAACCAGGCTAACCCATGCCTCCCTCTTGTCGTTTCTTGCAGATGGTCACAAGAACAAAGAAAATATTTGTAGGCGGGTTATCTGCAAACACGGTAGTGGAAGATGTAAAGCAATATTTCGAGCAGTTTGGCAAGGTAAGAACCATGAGTGGCTGGGCAGCACATGCCGGAGCTGTCCTGAGCAGTGGCTGCTGTGGACCTGGCATTGGCCACGGCCGTAGCCTCAGAAACCTTGTTCTTGAACTTGGCGGTGAAGCTCTAAGTGAACTTGAGCAGAAAGAGGCCGGCTTGTGGTCAGCACGTTTTCCACGTGCCGGCAGGAGCAGACAAGAGTGGCTTTTTAGTGTGGTTCTGTTGGCATTTGCTGGCCACGTGGGAACTGGGCTGGGAGTTGATGAGGGCAGCGGCTGGGGAGGGATGTGGGGCTGTGACTCAGATGTGGCAGGAGCTGCCACAGAGGCTGCTGTGAGTTGACGCCGAGCATCATCCTGTGCCTTTCTAGAAAATGCAGTGAGTGATGAGGCCCCCTGGGGCCCTTTGCAGCCAAGCCCTCCCTTGTCAAGTGCTCATGGAGACACAAGAAAGATGCTATGTCTATACCTGTCAGCGTTCTCCGCTGTCTGTGAGACAACAGCAAAGTTTTCCCCTGAGCTCTGCTCCTGGGACAGGCTTCTTGGAGAGCCCTAAACCGAGCAGGGAGCAATGAGAGTATGTGTGACAGACAGACAGACAGCCTAGACAACAATGGGCACTGTGCTTAGTTCAGCCCCTTTAGTTCATGAAGCAGATGATGCCGTCAACAGTGGATTCTCCTGGAAGGAGACAGTTTTCAAATGGCTCTGTTGATTGCTCCAAGGCTCAGACAGGGAAGCCTGTGGGGTGCTGACCCCTTCTGGGTTTTGTGTGTTCGCCTCACCCACCTCCCGTGGGAAAGGCAGGCCCACAGAAACTGGTGGAATCCCTGGATGGCAGATGTGGTTAATGTGTATGGCTGCTAACTGAAAGATTGAGATCTGACTCCACCTAAAGGAATGTAGGAAGAGAAGCCTGGTGGGCTACTTCTGAGTGCCCAGCCATTGGAAACCTTATGAAGCACAGGCTAAGGCTGACAACATGGGGCTGCGAGGGGTGAAGGACCCTCCAGGGCTGCTGGCTAAAGAGGCGGGCAGGTGAGTGAGCAGTTGGGAGCGCTGCCCCAGAAGCCCAGGTATGGGACCGTCCCCTCACGTACAGCCGGTCTGCGTCTTCCTTGCAGAAGGACTCCGCTCCTGTTCTAAGCTCTGCCACCTATTCCCTCCAATGCTGAGTGACCGACTGCTGGTTGTGGTGCTGCAGAAGCGCCTTACTGCCCGTGTGCCCAAGGCCTCTGTGACTCTAAGGGTGTTTTTCTAGGAGCTGGCTTTCTGGGATTAGGACCAGGTCCTTTATTTAGCTTCAACAAGGAGACTTTCCTGCCCTGGTGGTAACCGATTTCTGCGGAAATCGGAGAATGTATTGCAAAGAGAAGCCGTCCTCCAGTCCAGTGGCTCGCCCTGCCCTTCCAGTGGCTCTGAAAGGTGCCTTTTCATCGCCCTGTCTGCCTTTGCCCTCTGAGGCCTGATTCACTCTGGCCGAGTTCTGAAGAATAGCTGAGTGTGTTGGTGACCACGTACACACTGGTCCATTTCTTCAGGACTTAGTTCAAACTACGGAGCGGGTTGTGTCCTCACCCCGCCCCACCCCTGCCTGGGGAGAGCGAGTGGAAGTGATTGAAGGAGACAAGCCCAGCGCTGGAGCCTGAGCCCTCTTTGCTTCCATTCTCCCTTGGAAACAAGGCTGGGGTGGTATTTGCGGACATAAGGTGGGATTTTACATTCAAGCAGGAACCTGTTTTGGAATCTCCTGGGCCTATTTGTGGGTGTCAGGGAAGTGGATGCTGCCCAGATGGCCCGTTGGAAGGAATATTCAAACAGGCTTATACTTGCCGACACATAGTACATCTCTGTCCAAATCCCCAACTCTTGGGCTTTGCTTTCTCTCTCTCCCACTCTGTCTTACCTCCCTCTCCCTCCTTCACTCTCTTTTCTCTCCTTTCTCCTCTCCCTCCTTCCCCTCCCTCTTTCCTTCTCCCTTTCCCCCCTTTCCTCTAGCTCTCCCCCTTCTCTCCTCTCTGTCTTCATTAACACTTGTGATTTGTGACTCAGCATCCTCCCAAAGGCAGTGGGAGGCCCTTCAGGCTTGGCCACGCCCACAGTGGCCACCACTGCCTGAGAGAACAGTCACCCTTTTGTCCGGGAACCATCACAAACCATCTTCCCTGGCCTGGCACTCACCCGGTCTAAAGCAGCTCAGTTAATTTTGCAGTAACGTTCATGGATTCCAGTAGGATATGTAAATTTATCAAGTGTTTTATTAAAGGACTACAGAGGCTTTTGAATGTATCCCGACCATAAAGCTCTGGATGCTTGTGTTCAATGGCGTGTTTCATCCACTTGTTCTGTGAGTTCTCTGGGTCTCTCTTCAGAATAGCTGATTTCTCATTTGACTGCTATCTAGTGTTACATTCATGTCCCTTTGGGCAGGACCTCTCACCTCTCAGGTTCAAAGTAAAAGACACTTCTTTGCTGGGCCTTTGGGGCAAGGAGCAGCTCTACCAGCAATGAAAAGAAGTAACAGATAAATGGACAAACTGACACTATCCTGAAGTATTTTACATTCTCTTTGAAGGAAACAGTACATGCCTGCCTATGCATGTAACGGTGCATCCATACATAGGTACTTACACACTATCTGTGCACACATTCCTCACTTTGTAAAGTTGTTTTGGGAAATCTTCAAGCTATCTTGCAGCTGGGCTAACGTGTAGGGTATAGTATTTATTTGTTTTGTCTTCTGTGAGAGGTCTGTGATCGTACCATGTACCAATTTTGTAGATCATTAAACTGAACCTCAGTGGGATTCAATCCTCGCCTTGACGTCACAGCCCTCTGAGAGGTAGCACAGGATGAGTGAAGATTTCTTTCCAAGCTTGTCTGAATTCTGGCACCTGTTCCATCTGCTGACCCGTTAGATGGACCTGAAAGGGTGAGGGAGTGTGCAAAGCAGAACAGATTGTCTCTGTAGTAGATCCAGGGTTGACAATGGGGACCTGGATGTGTATCACCTCATTTCCTCTGCGTAGCCGTTCTTCATTCTCTAATATTGTCGAGTCCATTGACTATAAATAGTAAGGATCAGAAATGAAGTCTGAGACAGTTCAAGAGCCAGTGTTCACATCTTAGTTTCTCTTCTTTCAAATCTAGAACTTTCCATACTTCCCTTGGCCAGCTGTCTATTTAGATTTCCTTCTCTGTCATGTCTTTTCTCCCTCTTCTAATCCTGGCTGAGGTGGCATCTGTTTCAGCTGTTTATTTCAGGTGGCAATCAGAAAGAGTAGGACTGTGATCACGGAGCTGAGCTCGGGGAGTATAACTGTGTCATTACTCTAAGTGTGAGGGGCACAGGATTATATACCAAGTGTCTTTAAATAACTGAAATTGGAGGCTTGGTAACCCCTTTGGGATTGTCTTCCACCTTCCTCCCAGAAGATTGACCCCCATGTTAGAGTTGTCATTACTTGTTGGTGCTGAAGATGAGATCGTGATGAAGGGCCATTGCCAGGAGAGTTCTGATACCTCAAAATGGTCATCCTCACCCCTGGCTTGCTGTTTTGGTGCTTTCATGTAGAAAGAAATTGCAAACGGCATTCCAAGCCCTCCGGCTGGGCCTGACTATGCAACTAGCTTGCCAAGTTGCCTCCTTACCAGTCCCCCTTTCACATCTGAGGAAAGGAGTTGTGTTATCTCAGGGGTTAGAAAACTCGCAGAGGGCCAGATAGCAAATATTTGCAGCCTTGTGGATCATACACTCTCATGTTGTGACTGCACATTTCTGCTGTTGCAATGCAAAAAAGCCTCCATAGACAGCATATGAATGAGTAGTAGGTGTGGCGATATTCCAATAAAACTTTATTTACAAAGGCAGATGGCAGGCCAGATTTGGCCGGTGGGCTGTAGTGTATCATTAAGTTGATTTAAATCTATCTGTGTACGTGGGAAGGAACCCTGGTGGCACAGTGCTTAAAGTGCATGCCTGCTAACTGAAAGATTGGTGATTTGAATCCACAAGTTTTCTTTTTCAAGAAAAATGTAGCAGCCTGCTTCTAGAAAGAGTATAGCTTTAGAAACTCTATTGGACACTTCTCACTTAACTCCTTTGGTGTCACTGTAAGTTGGAATCGACTTGGAGGCAACAGGTTTGGTTTTGGTTTTAGCTACCCAAGTGGTGTAAGTGATTAAGTACTTGCCTACAAACTGAAAAGCTGGTGGTTCAAACACATCCACACATACCTTGGAAGACAGGTCATATGATCTACTTCCCAAAGAACTCAGCCTTGGAAACCCTGTGAAACACTCTTGAGACACAAAGGGTCCCTGAAAACAATGCTGATACATAGTAATGTATTTTCCTGGCTTGATTTTCTCAGTGGGTGTTATCTGTGCTGTGATTTCATAAGTACGGGAATGATGTCTACAGACCATTCTAAGAATAGGCACACCAGTGATGCTCCAGATATGCACATGGAGACCCCTCAGACAATCAGTCAGCCTCTTCTCCAACCCAGCATTCAATGAATCGGCCTCTTCTCCAACCCAGCATTCTCTCCTGGTACAGCCACTGGAATAGGCCAGCTCGGTAATTAGAGCACATTGGGATCAAAGACGCTGTGGACATGGGCTCGCACCTCCCCCTCTCGAGGCCCCTCCTTCAAGTACTGGTTTCTTAAATTCTCACTTACAGGCTTTTGGAGATCAAAAAGAGGCCTTTACACGTAATGAATTCTCCACTTCATCCTGGATGGAGCAGACCTGCTCCTTTCAGCCTGTTGGCTGTGGTGATAGGGCTGCTCGGTGGCGAGCTCGCTAGGTAATTCTCACTTTATGTAACTCCTGTGAAAGAGTTTGGAGGCTTCCAATTATACTTCACATGGTGAACTGTGTAATTAGTTTGGAAGACTTATGCTTAGTCATTGGTTTATCCTAATCGGCTTTGGCTTTCCCCAACAACAAAGTGAGCTTATTTTGCTAAGCTGAAACAACTCTGCACCCTTTGTTCCT